CTAATCCCAACATGATCACTGCACAAATTAAGTCCTACTAGAATTCACTATTGAATATATCGTGATAAATCTCCTATAAGTGTTTATAGAAGACTATTTATTGTGATATGGCTCAAACACTGCTTCCCAAAGACATTTCAAACATATGTTTAAAATCCACCCTATAGATTACATAAATTAGTAGTCTGTCTAAAATATGTGAAAATTTACTTGATTCTAAGATGGTTAATTGATGTTTCAATTAAACAACTACTTTGAAATTTTAGATAATGCAAGCCTATGGAGTAGCAGCTACTCAAAAACTGAAGCATAAACATGGAGCCCTTTTGTTATGTGTGATTGGTGGAAAACTGAGTGAAGGAATAAATTTCACAGATGATTTAGCTCGAGTTGTTATCATTATTGGCATGCCATATGCAAACCCACAGTCCCCAATCGTAAGTTTATTGCATTATATATAGACGATGGTACATCAAACTTACCTTCTAAGTCCTCTAATTTTCTAAATTGGGACTTGAGTGTTTATATTCTGAGTCTGAAGGAAGTGGTCAACCGTGTTATGTTGCTCGATACTAAAGTCTGTGAGGCCCATAAACTTGTTACTATCCTTAGGTTATGCGATTTTTTATGGAAACTCTGTTAGATGGTAGTGGCTTTCAACATTTACCAGTTCCTGGTCATTTTTATTCTTACAGACAAAATTCCTGATCTAAACTATAGTTTGTAGAATATATTATTTGTGAAAACTAAATCTGTCAATTTTGCTTCTTTAAATTCTATCAACAAACTGCATTTCCTCTATAATCTTATGTAAAGCGATAATAATATTTAGAACATAGAGTATAATCATGAGGCCACATTTTTAATATCTTTTCCTCAACCTCATTGTCTGCAATTACTGTTAGCACAGTACGTTTAACGATACCCGATTGAAGAGTGTACTCCTGCATTATTTGCATTGCTGAATTGTTAAATGGAGTCGTAAAAAGTAATTTGATTGAAGCATTTTGACTTAAACCATTCAGTCTAGATAGCATAACACCATGCGAAGCGCCCACTTAAGCCATAAATCTCCATTTTTTCACAAATAATTATTATAAAGTTTTAAAAAATTTCTGATATATTGTCTAAGAACAACTTATAATTTCTCTCTTCTAAATAACATCATTCTCAAACTAGGATGAAACTACCATACAGTGTTGTCTGGCTTACAATACTGTTCTCCAGTCGGTACCTATGCGTTATGAATATTACTTACGTATTTAATTGATACCTGACCTAGATTTGAAGGACACTGTAGAAACGCTAGACTGATGTCAAGTGAGACCGAACGGCTTATGTACATTCGTAGGGCCACATGATAAGTAAAAGTTGAGGTGGCTTGATGTAAGTGAATTGTTCCTTTGACCAAGGTTATCTCATATACATTCTTGTCTAGGTCAGACACATAAGTACGAAATATTTGTATGGCACATTTATATCAAATTTCCACAGTCTTTGTTTACTTTCTCCACATCGTCGACTATCACTGATTTAAGAAGTGCATATTAGTAACCAGATCGAATTGTAGAACAATAATGGTCGGGCGATGGGATTAAATAATATAACAAACCCTCTAGAATATTTGGCCACTGATTTATGTTTTATTCATTATGGTATGATATTTACTGATGAACATTCTTTCCATTTTTCTAGTTAAGAGAAAAAATGATTTATTTAGATAAGCATTTCATTCGTGATTCCCAATATACACAAAATCCAGGTAGGCAATATTATGAGACAATGTGTATGCGTTTAATAAATCAAGCTATTGGTCGATCTATACGACATGCCAAAGATTATGCTGCTGTCTTCTTGATGGATAATCGGTATTATCGTTCAACGATTCAATCACAATTGCCTAAATGGGTTCAACAAAGTGTTATTCGTCAACAGTTAAATGATAAACAATCAATTTCACTGTCATCGTCAGATCATCACAGAAAATTCTTAAATTTATCAGAAGCTTTGGAACATGCTAAAAGATTTTTCTCATGTAATAAGGAGAGTTTGGAATAGAAATGATTCCTTTCTGGAAAAAAACCTGAGAAATTGACTTGGAGTGTAAGATCTTTGTTTCTAATCTTATATTTTCCCATTCTCGCGATACTTTTTATAGATCTGGGTACTTTTTCTGAAAATTGCATTTCATGATATGAGGAAAGGGAGAATTCCGGGTGTAATAGTGATCACATTTCGATTAGAAGAATGGAAGTGGATTTCAATGCATTTAACTGATAGATTATATTTTATTTATTTTATTATCTCTGTTTATCAATTAATGCAATTCCTGCTTGAATAAATTTTCTCATTACTTATTATACTTGTTAACAAATTCTGATCTGATCTACTATTTAATTTAGCCACTATCAATGAGCACACTCCTATTGCTTTATCAATTCAAATTGAGAGAGATAAGACCGTTTAGGAAGCTTTAATACCCGAAAAGCATATACGTACAACAGAGACTTCATCATTGCCTTCAGGATAGTGGTTTTCGTTAGGTAAATAATCCATCTACATGCTTGAACTGATGCATGCTTATATCCTACTTGAGATATTTTGTATATTGTCTTGTTCTCTCGGTTTTTAATCTTTCAACGGTCGTTTACTCAACTTTATTTTACTATGTTGGTGTAGATGGGGTTGAATGAGTGTAACATAATCTTGTTTATTGTAACAAAGCCTTTTTGTTTACCCTCGTGTAAGATCAAGGAAAAAACTTTGTGAAGATTCCTACGTTTCTTGAGAATGAAAGTTAGTGGTCCCAATATGTATAGTATGCAGCAAATTATGTGCACGGATATCTAGATAGAAGAAATTTGAGTGAAGTGCTTGTTATCGTACATAACTGAGGCTTTATTCCTTCAATGGTGTCATCCCTAATTTGAAAGTGTAAAAAACTGATTGTATAACTCTAGTTCACATGAGCTATTCCGTACAGGAGTTTTAATACAATTCCGTCGCATGTAATTTCTGTTTATATGAACAGATTTTATGAGAAAATAACTTCCATATAGTGTAGATGTCAACAGAGACACAGTTTCAAACAAAATAGAAACATCTCACAGACAACCGAGAAATGCACAGTAATATACAAAGCATTCGCAGTGGTTGAGATGTTCGACTTCCAGCTATCAAGTGACAGGTCTACAACCCGCTCCAACTACTTCAGTTTGGGCTACCGGGTAGTATCATCAGGACACATACTTGGAGTGTGAATGGCCGCCAAATATGCTGGTCTATATTTGATAAATTTGTTGGACAAGTATCTACTAATGTATAAACAATGTAATAATCATTGAAATTCCTTATCTTCAATCACAAACGAATGGATATTGAAAATAGGACTACTTATCACTTGAATGAGTTATAGCAAGATGTACAATATATATTAGTCTGCCTTAAACAACATTGAATATGAGACAAATGTTCATGAAAAACCAAGTTACAACAAGAGAAGCAAAAGAATCAAATTAGTAGTGATAATAGTACAAACAACATTAGAAATGTAGTTTGTAAATAATGAGATTTGGGCATGAAAAGTTGCATACGAATCCGAAGCTTTGGATAGATGACGATTCAATGTAAAATGAAAACGAGTTCTGAAGTCTACCTTAACATTGTTATTCATAACACTCCATATCATTATTAATACCAGAAGGATAGTGTCATTGTGGGTACGGACATGTTGGAATATTGATTAACTGAGATAAACTTCCTGATATGTATTGCTTTTATGTTTTAAGTGAAAAGTTTATGCTAGCCACAAACTTTGCTTCTTAATGCGGTATATTTGAAAATCAACTAATTCTATTACCGGCTTTCAATTTTACAATGTTAAGGATTGACATTTGAGCACTGTTAATTGCTTATTATTATTTTTGTCTCGCAACAATACAAGTCAGTGTTGAAAAAAGTCAGCAAACATTTCTTTTGTTATTATGTTTTCCTAATAATGATGATTATTTGAGTTACGTTATGTATTATTTTACTCTTCTTACACGATAACATTCGGAAAACAAAGATTAAAATTTACATACATATGGTTACGAATCAGTCTGTCAGTTGCAACCTAGAACCCGGTACGTATGTATATCGGTTCAAGCTGACACACCCGACTAGCAAGAAAAGATGAAATTGTTGGAGCAAATCCCAGAGTAGTAGAGAAAGTAACTGTATTAGTGGTAATACAAAAGACTAGGCATCGAAGATAGGATTCAGACATTTAAATTAGTGAAATAAAAAACCCATGCGAATTGATACACCTGCGGTATCGCAAACGATTTTAAACTACGCCGTCCTAAGTCTCTAACCATCGGTTACGATAATTATGCGGATCCCGACCAGGTAGTCTACATTTATTAACATGGCCCAGCTCGATCGTCAACGTCATGGACTGATGAGACGTTTCAGGTTGACCACCGTTAGCTTTCTTCCAATCTACTACACCAGAAAACATCTCCCGTCGAAGTAGGCGGTGATCGGGCATATGTTACGCATATCCCAACCACCTCGGTTGATGAAAATTTATTAACTCACCAATCGATTTCTCATCTTTACCTAGTGCTCTATTCCTAAATCAGGCAGTGCTTACTCCGCGGTCCTAAAATGAATGAGCAATGCTTCGTAGACATTTATGATGGAACATCAGTAACCTACGAATATCTTCTATTGTTAATGACCATGTACCAGATCCATAAAGTAGGACGGGGAGAACTGCTGCGCAGTAAACTCTCCTTTTGATTTGAAGACGGATATCTTGCCTACGCCACAAGTAACACAGGTTTCCAAAAGCTAATTGAGCCTCCTGAATCCGTGCCGAGACTTCGTCAGACACTTGACCACCAGGACTGATGCGACTTTCAAAAAATGTCAAACGGTCAATGCACTCAACTACTTCGCTTGCTACCATTAATTCAGGAACTGATATAGGCCAATCCTGAATATTTTGCATTTGGAGAGAGAGAATCGCATCCACTGGTCTTCGAGTAGAGAGCCTGTACAAGGTCGATGTACTTATTTGGTATGCCTTTCGATGACAAACATTACCACAAAACACTTCTGTCAACAGAGTTGAATGCTGTCTCAAGATCAATAAATACAGCTGTAGCTGGGTGCCTATTTTCTAAAACCCGGGGAAGAGTTATTACGTAGTCTACATATCCACATCCAGGCTAGAAACCAGTCTTGTTTCCAAGAGCTCGCTTTTTACGAGCCGTAAATTAGCATTAAAGGATCATCAGTGTTAATAATGTAGACACTATACTGATCAAACTGAATCCTCCGTGATTGTCATAGGAGGATTTTCGTCTCTTATTACAGTCTGGGACGATCAGTAATTGAGACTAGCCATAAGGGATTACGTCCAGTTCCCAGATTCTATCTATGATCTCATTTAATCTAAGTGCTAAAACCACCACTATCCTTAAAAATCTTCAGGGTTAATTCATCAGGTCGTGGTGCTCTCCTTCGCCTTACATTGCCTACAGCCTTTTCAACCTAATTTGGATTTGGGAGACTTTCATCAATTCGTCATTTAAGTTACTGAAAAATGGTAGATAGCTGAGGTCCATTCGAACTGTCTTCTAAAGTGTTCTGCTCGTCGACCCAATATCCTGCATTGAGTGAATAACTGTCCCAGTCTTTTTCCGATAAAGTCTCACCAACAGCCGAAATTTCAATACTTGTTGTCTTGATAAGTCTGAACAGTTTTCAACTGTTACTTATTGCCTTTTCCGTCTCTTTTGCGTTCGCAACCCACCACTTCTCACAATCAATGTGCAAAGTTTTTCTGCCAACTACCTCTAGCCATTTAACACTCGAACAATAAATAATCAACAGCTGTAAATCTACTGATGGCTGCAAGTTAGGACTAGTATATGTTGTAAAGTGTTTAGTTATTCAAATGGAATGATGATTGATGGATTATTTTTACACAGCTATGCGCACACCCTGAAGATGACAATAAAAAGTAATAAACAAATAATCTTACAGAATATTATACGAGTTATTATGAAAGAGAAATGAAGAAACAATACATGGTTACTACTTCAAAAAAAATTATAACGTTTCTGTGTAACATAAAGATTTCTCATTCACCGAAATCTTTCTTTTTTCAAAAAAAAAGTTATTAAAATAATGATGAAAGCACCACAAACAATTATGCATTATTTATTTCAGCTCAATTATAAATCATTCTTATTTTTGCACTATACTTGAAGTGTATAAACAATAAAAATAATCTTTATACACACGGCGTTGGAGATTTAGATTGGCTTATTATATATATCGTATAATGAATACAGTGAGTGTAGTGGATTTTTTCCAAATTAACTTCTGACAATAAATTATTTGTATTTCTTTCCCAGAAATAGACGGGTGACAAAATGTTAAAAAGAAATATGCTGAGTAAAGGAAAGAAAAACAAACATACAAGTTACAGTTAATTCGTGAGCCGAGAAGGCAAGTTAACCTGAATTGGCAAGGTTAATCAGTGTGTATATATTCCACTGTGGTCAACATGTTGGGATGGTTATGATAAAGTGTTATTTATAGTAATTTAGTCTTTCTAATACTTTTAAGCCTTTTTCTTCGTATTCAGCACGAGTTAACCATGTAGTACGTCGGTCATTTTTCATAATATTTGCCAAAACTGATCCACCTATAAATACCATATGTTTTCTTTGAGGTGGGGCTTCAATACACATCTTGAATTTCTGGGAAAAATAATAAATTAACAAAGTTGAACAAACTGAAAATAATTATCTTTAACATGAAAACTAAATGATTTATCATTGAAATGAACTCCTAAATTTAAATAAGGGCACCAAAAATGAATTATCTTCACTATCCGATAAGGAGTCGAGATAAATATCAGTATTAACGGCTCAAAATGTATGGTTTTATCCTATTATTAAGAAAATAGAAATTATTGTGCACTTGAAATCGTCCTTATACTAAAGGAATTTTATAAGTTTTCTTTTGTGCGATGAAAGATTGACTGATCGCATCCATTATGGAGACAAGACCAAAAAATACATAAATAAATCCATCAACTACTAGTCCAAGTCATTAGTAGAAAGAAATATAAATTTATTTAAATATAGCTACAGAAATCAGCACCAAAGATTCCGTTGATGACACAGTGACTTAAAGATTAATTTCCATGATATACTTACTTACGCCTGTTACCCCTTGTGGAGGAGAATAGGCCGCACACCAGCATTCTCCAACCAACCCTGTCCTGGACAATCCTTTCCAGTTCTTCCTAGATGCTATTCATCCTTTTCATATCTGTTCTTTGACTTTCCCCTTTTCCGGTTCCCTTCCGATTCCAGGTTAGGGATTGCCTCGTGATGCAGTTTGTTGATTTCCTCAATGTATGTCCTATCCACTTCCAACGTCTTTTCCTAATTTCCACTGTCAAATGCCTTCTCACAGTCAATGAAGTTGATGTAAAGTTATGAGTTCCATTTAACTGATTGCTCAACGATGATCCTTAGTGTCGCAATTTGGTCTGTGCACGACCGATCCTTGCGGAATCCAGTCCGTTGATCTTGAAGTCGGGTACCTACTGTGTCTTTCATCCGGTTTAGCAACACTTGGCGGGAAACTTTTCCTGGAACTGACAACAGTATGATGCCTCTTTAATTTTCAAATATGCTCAGATCTCCTTTCTTTGGTATTTTGATGAGGTATCCTTCTTTTCAGTCCGTTGGCACTTGTTCTTCTTCCCAAATCTCCTTGAATAGAAGGTGAAGCATGTTTGCAGTTACTTCAATGTTTGACCTCAGTGCTTCAGCTGGTATATTGCCAGGTTATGCTGCCTTGCCACTCTTGATTTGTCTGATGGTCATCTTGATTTTACTCGGTCGTTGGTGGAGTGACATCTATTGGAAGGCTTGTGTGTGCTGTTTCGATGTCCGGTTGATTCAATGGGGCTGGTCTATTCAGCAGTTCGTCGAAGTATTCTATCCATCTGTTCCTCTGTTCCTCAATCTCCGTGATTGCCTTTCCTTCTTTTCCCTTGACTGGTCTTTCCGGTTTACTATATCTCCATGCTAGTTTCTTCGTTGTATCAAATAGTTGTTTCAAATTCCCTTCCCTGGCAGCTTTTTCCGCCCTTGTTGCTAGTTCTCCCATGTATTTCTACTTGTCGGCTCTAATGCTCTTCTTCACTTGCTTGATTGGTTCTGCGTACTCTGCTTGTGCCTTGACTTTCTCTGCTCATGTTCGACTGTTGTTAATTGCTATTTTCCTGTTCTTCCTTTCTTGAATCTTGTCCAGGGTCCCCATAGAGATCCATTCCTTGTGATGACTTTTCTTGCGACCCAGAACCTCCTGACACGTTGAAGTTAGTGCTTCTTTCATCCCTTTCCAGTTGTCCTCCATCGTAGTTTCTTCTTTCAGTAGATCCTGTAGAGCTTGGAACCTGTTGTTGAGAGTTATCTTGAATTGGTTGAGCTTGTTAGTATCTCAAAGGAAGGCTGTATTGAACTTTTGTAACGCTGTTTCCCTAGTTGTCCAGTGTTTCTTTAGCTTCAGTTTCAATTTCAATGATATACGTACATTTAATTATAAATTTTTTTCTCAGTATCAAATTCATTTGGAATAGAAATTCCTTTTAAACTGGTCAAATAAAATCAAAGATATTCTTTTTTCAAATAGCTGATTGGTTTTCAGTCAGAAATTGATAAATTATCTAGAAAAGCACTGAATACCAACGACCACAAAGAAATTATGTTTTGTCCTACTACATATCCGAGGTTAAACAAACTCAAAAGCAGTGTCGCGCATTGAAAAATAAATCATTAAATGGAGACCCACTGGTCTAAAGGTTGAGAGTCAGCCACTAAATATGAACATCTTGGATTGGGTCCTCGGTGGGATCGTGTTAGACGAGAACTACCGAGTTGTATACTGAGACGAAACAATTATTCTGTGCTTCCTGATTTTTTTGAGGTTAATACGTGTTGCAAACGAGAATCTTCCCATTGATGTTTAGAACTGCAACTGTGCATCCTGTTCGGATTGCCTCGATATTGCCTTAAGTCACACGTATCATAAACAGAGATGGATGATGGTTAGCAGTGGAATGCAGGATGTCCTTTTCGACCTATTTGGTATTCGCCATCTAGATATACCTGCATCAGAGTCCAAATGACCAATACAAATATGAATTAAAACCTTAACCCACTGGACTCAATAGCTAAGTGGGTAATACGATGGCGTTTGAAGCGAACGGTACTGGGCTTGAGTCTTGGAGTGAACATCAACTCTGAGACCCAGATGTATCTGACTAACGAGTCCCAAATAGGACGAAATATGAGTCCTGGATTCCACTGCTAGCCACCATCCATCGCTGCTTACTAATAATATTGTTACTAGTACTAATAACAACTCTACCCTCTGGGACTTGCCCTAACAATTTCTCCTTGCTCCACTAATAAAGACGCGGCAACTTGAACCGATGTGCATATATGCCTGATTTTACTTTGCGTATGACTCGCTAAATGACTTAATCAAGAGAAAACAATTAGAAAACTTACTGCAAATCTTTCTGTATCACCTTTTAGTACATTTTGTAAATATAACTGTTTAATTTCACGTTCAAGACGACTTGGCAAACCAGGATACATTGTACTCCCACCACTTAATACTATGTGCTTGTAGAGTGCTGGTCTTGTATCAATATCAGCAGCTTGGATTGTATTAAATAGTAATTCTGATATACCGACACCTTCACGATCGATTAGATGAGGCTGAAAGAGAGCTTCTGGTGCACCGAATAATTCACCGCCTACTTTGATAACACGACCATCAGGTAACTGTAGTTGTTTGCAATTAAGTTTGGGAAAAGAAAAAGCAAAAACAAATGATAGATTTATTAAGATATGCATCGACGATGATTCAGATTGATAGAAAGCTCGGTTTCGAATCAGATGTCTTCCATAGAATCAAGCTCATGTGAACTATTGAGGTTGGGCCACCTGTAGCACAGAGATCGAAGGTTAGATATTTACATTGATACAGGTTAAATTCCGTAATATATGTAGAGAGACAAAAGAAGTAGAAGTGGAGTGTAAATATTGATTTCCTATACGCTTAAAAATTATATAATGATAACTACTACCATTGATAATTCAACCTAAAAAAGTAACGGAAATATATAGTGTAAGTTAACAAAGAAGAAATCTATTTATTCATTTGCACACATAAACATTGGTACACGGGAGTACCAAATATATATGCACCACACAGCAAAAATGAGGTTGTGGAAAATGAAGGATAGAAAAACAACGATGAAAAGAAATTAATGTATGACAGTCAAATAATAATAATCTGAGAAGCAGTTCAGTTGGGAGATATACAATCAGGGAGAAAGTAAAAGGAAGTCACATGAATTCTATTCTGAGCTATATCTGATAACGCCTCTAGCCACTGAGTTTCATCACCTCAAGAACCCCAAACAGGAAGGTGCAAAAAGCCAACAGAAGCCAGTCCTGTACAGCTTTCTTTCATACCACGACATCTCATACACTGACCACCTCTTCGTTTTTTTTAACTGGTTCTAGCATCGGAATTGGCAGAACATTCCCAAACCATCGAAGTCGATGTTTCAAAATGGTGACACTAGTTGAATTATAGTCGCTGTGTCCAAACACACGTTGCCGAACCTCTGCATTACTAACATAGTGTTACCAATGGATGTCAGCTACCTTTCAGCGACATCAATGATCAAACACAGAGATTCGTCTAACATCCTCAACTCAGAGAGGCCAGGTTTCACAAGCATTAAACAAAACTGCTCTTAGCGACGCGTTGTGGGTCCGACCTTTTACACCCAGACTAACATCACAAAGTTGCCAAAGATGGCCCAGATCGGCATAAGCTGGTCTGGCTTTCTTTATACGTGGATTGACCTCAACACTCACTCCACCAACAGCATTTGCGCTGCTATCCAGATACATGAATTTCTTGACTACTTCTGTCTGCTCACTACTCAGGATGAGTGCAGGATCAGGGTCCTGTCAGTCTTATAGAAGTACTTTACACATACCATGCCTACGGACACTGATTGTAGTTGCATGCCCTCACTCTATCTAAGGTGCTTGTATATAGGGCTTTTAAGAATGTTAATAAACTCCTCTGGCACACCCTTATTCAATAGACAATCCCAGAGAACAGTCCTGTTCAACGAATCGAAGACAGCCCTGATATCAAGAAACACTACGATTGTTGGCTTGTGATAAGTATGACGGTGTTCTAACATTTGGCAGAGGGTGAAGATATAATCAATACAACCTCGACCAGAACGAAAACCAGCCTGTTCACCGCAAGTCGTTTTTTTCGGGTTGTGAACAATCTACGAAGTATGACAGAAGCCAATAATTCGGTCACAATCGGAAGATTTTTTCATTCACACCAGAATCCTTGCTGCCAGTGACTCGGATGAGTTGAAAGAGCTTCCGGAATTCGCCAGAAGAAGCTGCTGCTTCCAACGCATTAGCACGCTCCAACCACCAGGCTTATTGGTTCCTACCCAAGGTAACCACAATTCCATTGAGTAACAATCTTCGCTTGTGTTCAAACTCGTGGTCCTCCGGAGTAGTTCAACGTGCTTCAACGAGTTGTAAGGAGGCTTTATAAACACAGTGCTAATAAGCGGGACGCTTCATGAGGCCATAAGCGATGTTATTCACCGTTTTCGTGGCGTCATACAATTGCAGAAATCCAAGAATGCTGATAGATCGATATGGCAGGACCATATAGTTTTGTAATGGAAAAGTTTTTTAAAAGTGCTGGATCCTTCGTCCGAAAATTACAAAAGATAGTATAAAGAATTGGCTGCTACCAGCCGAGATATTTTGACTGATTAGCTAATTAGATTACTTAAGCTGTGTACACCTAATCAATTTCGCATATGTTAGTGAAGTTTAAATTATTTATACATTGTTCTTAATTAGTTGGTTGAAAAAAGCGGATAGTGTTCATCTGATTCGTACCAAATTGCAACATAAATGTCTTTATGAATCTTTTTGCCAAAGTTTGGCTTGATAGCTTCGAATAAATTGAGCATTGGATCGACTGTTGATGATAGAAATATTCATGAAGCGTCAGAAGTTTGACTTCTCACACATTAGGACTTTACAAATATGTTATCTGTATTGTGTATTTACGGAGACTTATCATACTCGTCTTTTTCAAATTAATGAATCTGGAAGTTATTTGTGGAATTGTTGTCAATTATTTCCACTTCGTGTATGTGTCAGCAACTGTTAGTGCAAATAACTTCACATGTAACAGAGGCTCGGAGTTGTGACTAAGGGATTTGGTTTTCGACCAGTAGATTAAAGGTTCGAGTTTGTTTCATTTACTTCAGTTAGTAATTCTGACCCCTACACAAAAAATATGACTTCAAGCCATGTAAATAAACCTGTACCACAATTACATATGAAGCCAGACATTAACAATAAGCAATTGCTAAAAGTATCCAGTTATGATTTGATCAATTATATCTATGCCTCTCACAATTACACTCATAATATGATGCGTCATATATTGATATTTGATAAAATAGGACAGGTGCCTCATGTTTTCACCACAAATAAACTAATGAAAACCGTATAAATTCGTTAGTCAATATATTTTTAAGTGATATTTTGAAATTAATCACGAAAAGATTGTTGTTAAGGTGATTAGTGGCTTTTGATTGGAAAATTGTCAATATGTTGAATACATATGGCGAAGACGATTTGACTTATAGTTGTTTCATACACAACTATCTATCTCATGTTCAGTAGTCAACTTAAATGTCAACATTAACGTTTTAAGTAGAAACAACTAATAGAAATATTAAACTGATCTTATATCAATCAGAGATACAAAAATAATGTATAATCAGTTTCTAAAAGTTATTGATTTACAGATTCACAATACTTGTCGGTATAATTTGGAAATTTCCACTTTACAGTATGAAATCATACTCATACCTTTTTTTTAAAAAACATTAACAGTACCAAAATAAAAATCTGCTTTATTTAGAACAAATTTTCTACTACAACATTCTCTACACTTAGTCACGTAATAACTGTAGGCAACCGACAAACAAGCCTCTAGAATTCCACATTTTTTCTCAAACATGAAATAATTTGAGTCAACATATAAACATACTACTACCGTGTTTCACATAAGAGCAAAACAGTCATTGCACCTCCTCCCTAGTTTTCATTATTGTTTCAACTGACATCAATTTGTAACTTTACAAATCTTTGTCATTTAAAACTAATATGTTTCATAGCATCCAAGAAATATACCATACATAAAACTAGTTCCTTTGAAAAGAACTAGAGTTCAAATAAATCAGTACAATGGTGATAATCAATACATTCTAAGAGCATTGTACCATAATGAAGAAATAATTCATCTAATTCGCACCACATATATTGATTCCAACATTTATTAAAATGTTACCTGTGTAATTTAGTAACGCCAATAGAATAAAAAGTGATAATTGACCTTGAGATCAAGGTCAAGAAGAGTAAAACTCTTAATCGACCAGCACACAATTGACAAGGTAGGTTAGTAGTAAATCAATAAATAGAGAAGCATAGTAACTATTCAAGTAATAATAATAGCAATAAATAATGATAGTAATTTATACGATACATGTAAGAACGGATGCTTGTAGTGATGTCTTATTGAAACGAAAGTAGGAGCTGATGATATCGTATAGAAAGGCCATAAAAACTTCACAGCTAATCCAACCAACTTAGAAAATGAAACATCTCCAAAAGTATTTAACTTGAACAGATATGAACCTCTTCAATCATTTCACAGATGAATGTATATACGAAGTTCTGCAAATAAGTCAATTAATTTATATAAAAGGTAAAGTTGTAAACAAGAAAATATGATTCATATTGGTGGTTTTGATGATATGGTTAGTTTTTAATAAATCTGACTAATCATTATAGTTGATAAACCGTTGAAAAGCATAGCGTTATAAAACAATTACTTCATAACTTATGAGACTTAAGTAATACCTTCTATCAACGTTTTTGAAATGAAATCTTGATAAGCTTGTTACTATTCTTCTGCTGATTAAAAGTATAGTGAATTAAGTTTACCAGATTCTGGATAATAGAAAGATAGTGTGGAAATCATCCAGTGATATGAGTCAATCAGTTTATATGCTCATGGGAAGTAAAAACTTTACTAGTTGGCAATATATAATGTCTATTTTCCAAACCATCACATTAATTGAGAAATGATTGCGCTAAATTAAAAAATTAGTCAAGGTTAATAAGCGAATAATTAACAAGATCAAAATATGACTGATAATATATAGGTGAATTGGCTTGGCCAGAAGCCAGAATAAAGTATATGGGCTTAACATATAAACCGATACAACAAACTAATATAATGCTTTTCAGTTCCTCAGTGTGATTTCCAATAAAGATTACTAGTCTAAAGTCGTACACCACAGTCAATAAACATAACATACCAAGTACAGGTCTATGTATTTGGACCATTTAAGCTGCGTTGTTTATTTGAGGGCTAGTAGCATGCTATTCAATTGCTTAAACTGGAGTGGTTAAAGATGATTTTAAGCCTGTAATTTATTGGTTAGAAGCTGAGGGGTTCTGAACCACTAAGCCATCAATTTCAAATGGTCAGTAAATACACCATCATAAAACTAAAATTTAACACGACAGATATTTGTATCAATATATGAAGATAAATAACAAAATCTTTCTTTTTTTAAAAATTTAGTGAATAAGGGGATATTATCAAAAAACAAGAATAACAAGTGTTACTCGGTCCATCTAGAACAGAGTAGTTAGGCTTTTCAATTTAGCATGTTAAGATTTTTTTAAAATGTGTTGATTCATTTATTTTTATTTTTATTTAAACACATAAATATTGGTACAAAGAGGCACCACATACATATGCGCCGCACAGATCTCATTTGATTTGTGTGAGGTCTGTGATACTGCCCAGGTGGCCAAACTGAAGCACGCGGTTCTCTTAGGGGGCTACACCCGGAGCCTTTGACCTGAATGTCTGATCCACAAGGCAGTGGATCATCGTGAGGAGATGCAGTCCCATGGTATTCGGTGACCAACGATTGATTCATACGTCATTTGTTCCCTCAGGATACTGGAGCCCATGTGCACCATTAGTTTGGAATCGGGGTTTTCCAACTCCCCTAGGTGGACTTTCCGTGTCCACCAACCCGGTTAAGGTGCCGGACATTCGCTTTTTGACCTCTCAATTTCATAAACAACACCCCCTGGTGCGAGAAGGTAGTGAGTAGGACTTCCCTGACAGAGGCTGTATACGCGTGGCCGGATGAGAGCCTTTAGAGAGGGAGGGTGCCCCCCCCCACTCTCGGCCGTACCAGGGCATTTGGGGGCTACACACTCATTTAAAGTTAACTGTAAATAGATTATCTCTAATTACTATGATAAATACCCTCCATTTTAACACTAACACCACCAATACTTTTATCACTGAAAAAACTCAGCAAAGATGACATCAAGATTCAACTTTATATTATAAAGATAACCAGATTACCTCTTCATTGTAAATCCTGAAATATCAAGATTTCAGTATTTTGAAAATGGTATATATATACCATCAAAATACTAAATATTGTATATACACACAATATGTACGATAATGAATGTTTATAAATAGAAATTAAAATCCTGATTACATTGAAAGTGAAAACATTTGATTGGTTAGATGGAACGTTTATTTGTTATTATTTTTCATTGTTTATTTACTCGGTCGAATTTGATTGCCATCCATGTTAAAATATAGGTTTCTCATGTGTGAACGACATTTTACTACTACTATTTACTACTGTATTATAGCGTAAACATATTACCCTTGGAATATCGATATTCACTGATCTCTAACAAATGCAATCAACATACTAGATTTTATGATAATTTAATATAAACCACCTGTTAATTTTTAGTGAATAATTTACGATACAATCAAATAGTCCAATTACAACACTAGATGCTGTTAACAAGTTCACTTTTTAAAGTGGATCTATTTGAACACAAAATTAATTAGTGAACTGTAAATGAATCAAACGACTGTTTACTAATAACTAACTTGATCTGTTTACTAAGTATACGAGGTTATGTGTTCAACTTCGGGTTATACTTTAGTTGTGTGAGGACTAATGATACCGACCTGCTAGATAAATTGAAGTAGGAATTGGTAGCTTAGTGATTAAAGAATCCAGCATCTAACTTCACTAGATAGCAGATTTCAAGTCCACCTCCATCTAATTAAATTTGAACAGCATGCAGTATCACTAGCCCTCATTACTAAAAGGCAAATAAGAGGACTTGTACTTAATGTTATAATGTGAGAGTTTGTTACATTATATCAAAGTTAAAATGACTGAAAGACTCTTCTAACACGAAACGGTATCTATACGAATTAGACTTCCCACCTACATCGGTTTGTGTAACCAAGTAGTATCATCGACCCTAACACAGAGTATGGCTCATTACCAAACGCCTTGTGAAACAGTTAACTTTAAAAAATATGTAGTAGTACTTCAAAGTTAATAATCCACTCAAGCATAAGAGAGACAGCAGAAGAAACTTTCAGAACTTTAATATTTCCAAAAGAATTCAGAAATGTAATGCAACCATTCTACTTTTTATGTCAAAAACAGCGGTAAAACTTGTAGTTTCAAATGAAGTTCAATTAAATTGAAAAATATTACAAAGATCTCCGTGTTACAGAGTTTGAACTGACCTCCTACTTCGATTTGAACGACCAGTTACTACCGTTAGCCCTAACATAAAAACTACAATTTAGAGCTGAGTACATAAACCTACCCTTCGTGAGAAATTTACTTAAGTAATAACTCTCATCTAACTGACCGTATATTTTTTCACCAAAACCGTTGTATCCAGAGCTAGATTCTGCTCCTGCTCTACATCGTACGCCACATAACATAACTTCTCTTTCATTTGGCGGATCGTTTCAAAATCTGCTGTTTGATTGAATGCGTAACCACGCAGTAACAAGAGCTGGAACGAAAAAAAACAGGAAACTAAATTAAGAATGAATCACTGAACCAGGTAATAATAAATATATTTTAGTGATGTTCCAATGAGTAGAAATTTGTATTTCTAGCGTTTTGTGGTTTTATGTAAGTCACTGCTTCAGAATAAAGCAGGATATTTTTAGTACAATCGAAATCATAATAGGACTGAGCACGTCATGCTACACTAAACTAGATGTAATGCTGACTTATTATCGAGAAAATAAACTACGTTTCCAATTTTGATAGTGTAATTATGGAATGATGTATTTGAGTGATAATACTTCGAACTATCTGACAACTCATCTGCCCTTACATCAAAATGTGACAAATGTCAAATACTATAAAAATGAAAGACTAAAAACGTTTATCAGCAATACATATAAAATTAAGCTTACAGTTAAAGAAAGAACGAAAAACATGTTACGACACAGATGTTAACATCGGTATAAGACCACATCACAAACAGACGGAGAGGTGATGGAACAAGTATCTTAATAGTTTCAAAAATAATTAGATTCATAAGCTCCTCTAAGAAGAAGCGATAAGCAATCATTTTCATGTCAAAACATACAATTAAGTCATGGAATGGATGCTAAAACAGCTTTAAAATTTTCATCGGTCAACTGTCGGGAATCCAACCTCAAATTTGTGAAAACGTCAGTCATAAAAAACTAGTCAAGATTTAGGTGTTCATAAACAATTTGTCTTCATATTGAACTTGGCCTGATAATCTTTAACTTAATTTTAGTCTTAAAGATTATACTAGAATTCATATCATTCCTTTACTATCCACTATCTCTCTCGTTCTTATGTTTCCAACGATTACAATTTATCCAATAACCTGTGAACAAATGTATGTTCACATAAATAGAGATATATCATGCAAAAACACAATACATATTTTTGGATTAACGTTATTTTTTTATCATAATATTCAAAATACTGTTGTTGTTTTTCTATGCTAAAACTTTCTCAGTCTCCGATTAAACTGATTTTGCCTTTTATAATTCCGAAAAACAGAATGAATTTTCAAGTATTCACTGTTTCAGAGAAAACTCACATTTTTTAATCAACAGTGACATGTACAATAAACAAAGCTATATTAAACTACTTTGGAGAGAAAAACATTGACACGAAATTCTAACGAGAAACTTTGAAATACAGCACTGATATTTTAGCCTCCCATCTAAACTAGTACAGGTATCTTGTTTTAAATTTCGCTATTCCTATTATGACGAAGACAAAAGAATGGCTTTAATTGAAGTACATGTGGTAATCTACTACCAATTATCTTAACTTGTAATTAATGTAAACAATTTTTCTATGTTAAAATCGGCTGTTACTACCACCCAGTCAGGGACCATGTAGGACCCAGTACAAGTTCCTATTGGTTCAAATCGGTACCATTCAAACTAATACAAGAGGACACTCAATTAACAAAAACTGGCAAAGTGGAAATAATAATGTTAGTAGTGGTGGCAAACCAAATATATTTCAAAAGGAATGAATGACTTTTTAAGATAAAGGAAATTATGAAGTAATAATACATCCGAGATTTAAAAGAAGATAGGGGATAAGTGCACCTAGGCCACTGATCCCTAATTCGAGGTATGTTTCTTGAAATCACCATTCTTCCAGGAATGTCAACCAAAAAGTCCAAAACTTAAGACACCTCAGAGTGACGACCAGTGACTAGTTCTATTTTGGTTCCACAACCCTAATCAGTCTTGAAACTTATTGCTACTCTAGATATATTACATGATTTCCCCACATGACGGTTGGTTTTAGAATAGAAATTAAACGACTGGTTATCATTTTGACCTTATAGGGATGAAATTTTGAAAGTACCGAAAAAAATATGCCATTCTGTTATGTCAACCTTCTAGTTGTGAGGTGAAATCATTTGTTGAGATGAATGGGACTTACGACCTAGAGATTTGAAAGACCTCAAAGAGTTTTCAATGGGACAAAGCTTTTACGTAATCCAAGCAATAGTTAATGAGTGAATAAGCAGGGTCAGTCAGTCAGTCACAACGTAGAACTTCGTACGTACGTACATCAGTTCGAGTTGCCATACCACATTAGCACAGAGATGCAGTTGTCGATTCAAATCCCATAGTGGTAGAAGTAGTAGGAGTATAATCAGAAATCCAAAAGATTAGGGTTTGAAGAAATTATTGAAGGACTATAGTACAGTGAAATGAATTTGGAAAGAGAAAAAGATAGAGACATGAGGAATTAAGAAGATTAGAAGTTGGTAGAACACAAAGAGTGGATGTACCCTCACCATTGCAAACGATTTTGAGCCATGTCATTCAAGGTCTCTAACCATCGGTTATTATCATCTCGCAGATCCTAACCAGGTAGTCTACACCTACCAACATGGCTCAGTCCACTTGTCAGTGACTTCATGGATTTGTGCCACGTTTTGCTCTGGCCACCCCTAGCTTTCTTCCAACCTACTCCTACACCATGAAACATTGCACGTCGGGGCAGTCGGTGGTTGGGCATACGTAACACATGTCCCAGCCATCTCAACTGATGAAGTTTCACTACTTCATCAATCGATTTGCCATCCTTATCAAGTACTCGTTTCCTAACAACTGCATTACTTACCCGGTGGTCCCAGGATATACGAGCAATGCTTCGAAGACACCTGTGATCAAAAACTAGTAACCTACAAATATCCTCTACTCTTATCGGCCATGTTTCACTACCATAAAGTAGGACGGAGCGAACTGCTGCACAGTAAACACGTCCTTTGTTTGCTAGACAGATATCTCGCCTACGCCATAAATGACGCAAATTGGCGAAAGTTAGACGTCCCTTCTGTATCCGTGCTGAGATTTCGTCACATACCACACCACAAGGGCTGGTGAGACTCCCAAGATAAGTGAAGTGGTCTACACGCTCAACTACTTCACTCCCTATCATTAGTTCAGGTGTCGCTGCAACATAATCCTGAAGTAACATTTTGCACTTCGAGGGAGAGAATCGCATCCCGAACATGCCTGCATAGTTGCTTATAGTGGTCAGATCACTCTGCATGTTGCCAGAGTCCTTACCAAGTAAAACTATGTCGTCGGCGTATTCTAAGTCAATAAGTGAGCCTCCCGGTAAAAGTTCAACTCCTGGAGGTTTAGCTGATGAAAGTGCTATCTCTAAAAGTATGTCAATGACAAAGTTAAACAAGAATGAGGAGAGTGGACAGCCCTGACGGACACCACTTGAGGTAATCAGTTCTGATGACAGTTCGCCATAGGCTCTAACTCGACCAGTAGTGTTCGAGTAGAGAGCCATTATGAGGTTGATGTACTTCTTTGGTACTCCTTTCAGTGACAAACACTGCCATAAAACTTCACGATCCACGGAGTCAAATGCCGCCTCAAGGTCAAGAAATACTACTATTGTGGGACGTCTGAATGTATGTCTATGTTCTAGGACCTGACGTAGGGTGAATATCTGGTCGAAAACCAGCCTGGTTTTCTCTAGACTGCTCTTCACGAGCTTTGGTTAGGCGACCTAGTATTATTGAAGCTAATATTTTAGACACTATATTAGTCAAACTGATCCCTCTGTGATTATCACAGGAGGACTTTTGTCCTTTCTTATAGACTGGCACAATCAGCGATTGGGACCAGTCATATGGAATTACGTCCAGTTCCCAGATTCTACCTAAGACCTCAGTCAACCTCACTGCTAGTACTGGACCACCATCCTTAAAAATCTCAGGGGTCAATTTGTCAGGGCCTGCTTCTCTCCCTCGCTTCAGATTTCCTATAGCTTTTTCAACCTTGCAGAGGGTTGGAGGACTTACATCAATTTGCCATTCAGGACGACTGGGGATCGTGGGTAATTGAGGTGTGAAGGCCAGTTGAACTGATCCCTAAAGTGTTCTGCCCATCTATTCAATCTCCTGGATTGAGAATGAATGATATGCCCATCTTTATCTGAGATGGTTTCACTGATACTTGGGTTCCTAATACCGGTTTCTTTAACGAGTCTGAATAGCTGCCTACTGTTACCTATTGCCGCTGCCTTTTCCATCTCTCTTGCTTTCGCTACCCACCACTGTTCATGATCATTACGTAGGCTTCTTATTAGCCTGCGCTTAAGTTGACTCCGCTCTTCGTTATGTTCAGAGCCAGGTGGGATGAGTTTTCGAGCATCTATCAGTGCGGTAGATGCTGCCGAGATCCATTGTTTCTCCCTAACCTTATGATTTGCCTTACTAGCGGATATCACTGCTGATTCCACAGCTTTTCGGATGTCATTCCACGCTGCCTCGGGGTGGGCATAACTTACATGGCTGCCTAACTGTTTTTCTAGTTGTTCCTGAAATATATTCTTAGTTTGCCTATCATTAAGTAGAACATTAGGAGGTTTCTCTCTAGTGTCTTTCCTACGTCCAGTAAGACGCAGACAGATACGTGCTCGAACTAGAGCATGATCTGAATCTAAACATGTGCTCCAGAATGAGCGACAGTCTTCTATCGAGCCTCTCCATCGGCGGCTGATAGCGATGTGATCTAATTGGGTCCAACATTGGGACGAATTCGGGGGTCGCCATGTCAAAAGATGTTTTTCCTTATGCTTAAAGTTAGTATTTGCAAGAAAAAGGCGGTTATCTGAGCATAGCTGCAACAGACGGTCGCCATTATCTGTTCTTTTAGCCATGACACCATAAGATCCACCCAGGTGTCTTTCCCTTTCACTTAGTTTACCTACTTGAGCATTAAAGTCACCTGCTACTATTACTACATCAGAACGCCTAGCTTTTCGGAGGTCAGAAAGTTTCCTGTAGAATTCATCTATATAGTTTGAGCTACAGTCAGTGGGAGAGTAGGCAGAGACGACGAAGAGGCAACGACGAGTTTCCCTATCTTTCCGGGTCCTTACTGATCCGTTTAGTCGGACAGCGCATAGACGACTGTCTACTGGGATCCAGTCTAAAAGAGCTAGTTCTGCCCTAGTACTCAATGCTATACCTACTCCAGCGAGGCCACGGGAAGCAGCATCAGGGCTTCCAGATACACGAAGCATGTATCGAGATGAATCTTTATTTTGATTAGGTGAGGTCAAATGAATGACACTACTCGGATCTTGTATGCGCGTTTCGGAGACGCAGCACACATCGATGGTGTAAGATTCTAGAGTCCTAGCTAAGGAAGCCTGTTGTCCTATTTGGCACAATGTTCGGACATTAAAAATTCCTATATGTAGTTTAGAGCGTGGTTTCAGGAGACCAGGAATAACGTTCCGTGTACTCGAATCGTTTGCCCTAGCGGTGCGAGGTGACAAAAGGACGTGGGAAGGGTTAGTCGTGGAGATAAGAGTATTATTAGGTGTAGGAAGGATTTGAAAGTGACCAACTTGGTCTCGTGTGCAGTTACGGGTATGAGGGCTAGTATCACTTCCCGGCTGCCCACACCGTGGAAGGGTATTTCTTGAGGGACCTGAAAAAGAAGTTGGATTAGTGTTGGTAATAACGACCTGAGAGCGTGACCGCAGCGCCCAAGGGACAACTGCTTGAGGTCGGTCACGCACGGCCTTTTTGTGGGGGATTTTTGACGTGTTAGCTCCGTTCTTCAAAGGACCTTACCGCCGGAGACGGAAATCCGTGGGATAAGGCTAGGTGTGCATTTTTAGGGTCGACCTTTTCTAACCCCACCCCTCCTTGTGAGAAGGCAGCATCGCTGTCATACTGGCTGTCTGAAGGAAACACTTTACTGCTGTCACGCCTCTGTACAGTCAGCAGTACGACTTCGCCTTCGGACCTTGGGATTGCTGCTTTTAGTCTCACCGCTCTTCAACCGACCTGTCTGGCATGGTAGGACCTTGAGGAACGATTGTTCCAGCCAGCATAGTCCGATTGAATCATCACGATAGGCAAGCCCGACCACCACGTCAAGGTAGCAGCAACGGTCGAGGAATAAGCAGTGACTGTGAATAAGCACCAGTATTTCAATCTTTCAGTTTATATAGTACCGTCCAGTTGGATAGGTGAAAATGAGAGATTCACGCTCTGCTCCCAAAATACTCCTACAAAACCTGCAAAATTATAGAAATTAGAAATCAAATCCATGGGCAAATAACGAGTGGAGCTTCTAGATTCATTACATACCTAGATCAATTCAGCACACTTTAGTGGTGTTTGGAAATCTAAAACTCTAAGAATATAATATTATATTAATTTATTTGTGTCATATATATCCTAGTGAAGATAAAATTATGGGTAATTTCTGAGATCTATTGATGGACTAATATTATATATATATTCCTATTGTATAACTGTTCAGTAACTAGATTATGTATATCTATATTCCTCTTATTATAAGCTTCATTTCGACCTATAAAATTATTATTATACAGTTTACTGTTCCTAAATTATATTCAGTTGATAATTAACTGTCTCCCACGTTCACAGCCACTTTTTGGCTTTATTGTATATAAACGTTATTTCCTATTTTATGGTGTGTCGCGGTCTGTTTGGCTGGTATATAAACCAAGTGCGCTTGAAATAAAAGAGTCGCATAGCTGAAGCTGTTATTGGTATTCTAAACTCAACTGGAAGGGTTAGGTGGATAAAGGACCAATAAGGACGCTAGGCTGCTCATACCAATCAAACGTCATTGGTTTGGCACAGTGCTAAGATTGTTGCTAAGAAAGTTTCCTGTAGAATTCATCTATATAGTCTGAGCTACAGTCAGTGGGAGAGTAGGCAGAGAAGACGAATATCCCTATCTTTCCGAGTCCTTACTGATCCGTTTAGTCGGACAGCGCAGGGTGTTTGGTCCACCAGGTTGTTTGGTACCTGAGTGGTTGCGCCACAGGATTGGGCCGAGCTGTTCGGATTGTAACGTTGAAGCCTTTATAGTGTCTGGTTCTCCTGTAGGGCGGGATTGAGCTGTATTGCTTGGGCTAAGCCTGGGTAGTGTCTGGCTCTCCTATACAGCGGTATTGAGCTGTACTGTTTGGGTTGCCTCGTGAAAGTCTGGATGGTGTCTGGTTCACCTGAAAACCAGTGCAAGATTACCCTCGCCCATAAGGGTATATTATATAACTCTGAACAGCCCCCAAATGCCTTGATACGGCCGAGAGTGGGGAGTCCGCTCTCCCTCTCGAAATGCTCTCATATGGCCAGCGAATATATAGCCTCTGCCACACAAGTCCTACTCACTGCCTTCTCATGGCGGGGGTGTTGTTCACGAAAGTGAGAGGACGAAAAGCGAATGTCCGGCGCTTCAACCGGGTTGGTGGACATGGAGGGTCCACCTAGGGGAGTTGGAAAACCCTGATTCCAAACCAGTGGTGCACACGGGCTCCAGTATCCTGAAGGAACAAATGGCGTACGAAACAACCGTTGATCACCGGCTACCATGGGACTGCATCTCCTCACGATGCTCCACTGCCTGTGGATCAGACATTCAGGTCAAAGGCTCCGGGTGTGGCCCCCTAAGAAAACCACCTGCTTCACTTTGGGCACCTGGGCAGTATCACAGGTGAGGCGCATATATATCTGGTGCTTCCTTGTACCAATATTTACGTGTTTAAATAAATAAAAATAAAGATTGGATAAGTCGCATTTTGATTGGTGGGCAAATCACGTGATGAAAAGTCGGGCATAAATTCACAACAATCCGGTAGTGGATACATAATTTGCATGAGATATGTTTGAACGTAAATAGAATAGGATCCAAAAAATTTAAAATAGTGTAATAGAAAACCCAGGCGGAATTCAGAAACTTTGAATCCGTAAGAAGACAAAGAATGGATGCACCTGCGTTGTTACAAACGATTTTGAACCACGCTATCAAAAGTTTTTAACCACTGGTTGTAAAAGTCACACAGACCTCAAGCAGGTGAAAATTCGTAAAAAAAAATATGAAAATATTCCACTTAAATATACTTGCTTTAATAAGGTAGCGTGTTATGTCCCGACCGGCGACGTTCAAACGTCTTGTCAAATGCGGCAAAGAGAGTCCATCGTAAACTGGGCATATATGAGTGACGCCATCACCCGAATCGACAACAACCCCCGTCATGAGGCCTTGTGAAGAAAATCGGGGATAAAAGAAATACACAACAAACCTTACCAACTAATTAGTAAGCATACGAAAGACAGAAAACACTACCGTTTAAGAGTATTTAAAAATATTTTGACGGATGCCGACAATCTCACATATAATACCATAAAGTTAGGGTGACGTTTAGACACAATAAAAATAGTTGGTTGCTAAGAGACTACATAAATTCTACACCGTTTTTGTCCGAACAAAAGCACATTAGTTTATTTCCGATAAAAATACATTTCCGGAAAAATGTTCTTAGAAAAAATCGGAAGGCAGTCAGTCAGTCAGCTACAACGTAAAACCAGGCACATTTATGCATCGGTCCAAGTTGCCATACCTCGTTAGCACAACAAGATGAACACCGGATTCATAGAAGTAATTAATGTAGTGGTGGTAGTAGTATATAAATTATAGGTTGTATATAAGGATATAGTATAGGAAGGAAGAGAGATATGAAGCAATTTTAGTCTCAAGGTTTAAAGGAAGATAAAGAGTGTATACACCTACGCCATTGTGATCGATTCTGAGCCATGTCACCTAGAGTCTCCAACCATTGGTTACGATAGTCACGCGGACCCCAACCAGGTAGTCTGCATCTGTCAACATGGCTCAGACTAGAAGTTAGTGACTTAAAATACTGATGCCATGTTTTGGTTTGGCCGCCCCTAACTCTCTTCCAACAATCCCCTACACTAGTCAGCATAGCGCGTCGTGGTAATCGGTGTTCAGGCATACGTAACACATGGCCCAACCATCTCAGTCGATGAAGATTCATCACCTCATCAACTGACTTACCATCGTTTCCTAATACCTTGCGTCTAACCTCACTATTACTTACCCGGTGATCCCAGCAGATGCGAGCAATATTTCTAAGGCATCTGTGGTCAAATACTAGTAACCTACGAGTATCTTCTACTCTTAATGGCCATGTTTCACAACCGTAAAGTAGAACAGAGCGAACTGGTGCGCAGTATACTCGTCCTTTAATTGATAGACGGATATCTCGTTTTCGCCATAGGTGACGTAAGTTGGCAAAAGCCAAACGAGCTTTTCGAATCCGCGCTGAGATTTCGTCAGACACCAACCCATTAGGGCTGATCAGACTTCCAAGATAAGTGAAGTTGTCAACGCGTTCGACTACTTCACTCCCTATCCTTAGTTCAGGTGTTGACGTAGGCCAGTCCTGGAGTAACAATTTACATTTGGATGGGGAGAAACGCATCCCAAACATCCTGGCATTATTACTGAGTTCCAACAGAAGACTCTGCATTTTGCCAGCGTCTTCACCAAACAGGACTATGTCATCTGCGTATTCTAAGTCGATTAGTGGTCCCCCTGGTAGGAGATCAATTCCTGTAAATTCAGTCGAAGAGAGTGTTATTTCCAGCAACAGGTATATAATGAAGTTAAACAAAAATGGGGATAGTGGACAGTCTTGTCGGACACCACTTGAGGTTGTAAAATCATATGACAGTTCGCCATAAGCTCTCACTCGACTGGTAGTGTTCGAGTAAAGAACCTTCACAAGGTTTATGTACTTCTCAGGTACACCTTTCAATGACAGACATTGCCACAGAACCTCTCGGTCTACAGAGTCAAATGCTGCTTTCAAGTCAAGAAAAACTATCATTGTCGGACGCCGATAAGCGTGTCTGTGCTCTAAGACTTGACGAATGGTGAATATGTGGTCGATACAGCCACGACCAGGTCTGAAGCCAGCCTGATTTTCTCGTGTTTGCAGTTCACGAGTCTTAGTTAGGCGCCCGATAATTATTGAGGCTAGTATTTTAGATGCTATGTTGGTCAGACTAATCCCTCTATGGTTATCGCAGGATGATTTTGACCCCTTTTTATATATTGGGATAATCAGTGATTGTGACCAGTCGGATGGGATTACATCCGTCTCCCAGATTTAAGCCAGAATATTAGTCAACCTAATCGCTAAAATCGGACCACCATATTTAAAGACCTCTGGAGCCAATCCATCTGGACCAGCTGCTCTTCCTCGTTTCAGATTACCTATAGCCTTTTGAACTTCAAGTAGGGTCGGGGGACCTACTTCAATGTTCCATTCAGGTTTTCTAGGAATAGTGGGTAGTTGTGCAGTAGCTGAAGGCCAGCTAAACTGCTCCTTAAAGTGTTCCGCCCATCGTTCTAAACGTTTGGGTTGAGAGCAGATAAGGGTTCCGTCTTTTTCGGAGATTGTCTCACTTACACTTGACTTCTTAATTCCGGTTTCTTTTATTAGTCTGAATAGTTGCCTGGTGTTCCCCACAGCCGCTGCCTTTTCCATCTCTTTTGCTTTCGTTGCCCACCACTGCTCACGATCATTCTTTAGACTTTTAGTTAACCTATATCTAATTTCTTTACGCTCTTCGTCATGTTCAGAGCCTGATGGGATGAGTTTACGCGAATCCATCAGTGAAATAGACTTAGAAGAAATCCACTGGTTTTTTGGAGCCCTATGGTTTAAATGACTAATAGATGTTACTGCTGTTTCCACAGCTGTTCGTATGTCTTTCCAAGCAGCATCTGTGTCAGTCTTGTTTACAGAACTGCCTAGATGTGAACTTAGTTGTTTCTGGAATTCGCATTTGGCTTTCTCATCCTCCAGTTCAATCCTAATGGGTCTTCTTAGTGTACTTTTCCTGCGTCCATTGAGGCGCAGACAAATGCGCGCTCGTATTAAAGCGTGATCAGAGTCTAAACAAGTATTCCAATACGAGCGACAATCTTCTATTGAGCCTCTCCAACGATGACTGATGACAATATGGTCTATTTGAGTCCATCGTTGGTTTGGTGCAGGTGCTCGCCATGTTAGACGATGTCTCTCCTTATGTTTAAAATTAGTGCTTGCTAAAAATAAACGATTGTCTGAGCATAGTTGCAACAGACGATCACCATTATCGGTTCGTTGAGCCGGAATACTAAAACACCCACCTAAATGTCTTTCTGTTTGATTCAAGCTGCCTACCTGGGCATTAAAGTCACCCGCTACGACTACTATGTCTGAGCGCTTAGCTTTCTGAAGAAGCTCAGAGAGCTTTCTGTAAAAGTCATCTTTCACTTCATCATGGTTGCAGTCGGTGGGAGCGTAGGCAGAAACGACGAAAAGGCAACGACGTGTGTCCCTATCCTTCCGAGTTCTTACGGAGCCATTCAGCCGGACAGCACACAGGCGACTGTTAACGGGGATCCATTCTAATAGTGCCTGTTCTGCCCTTGTACTTAGTGCTATGCCTACACCTGCAAGTCCGCGAGAACTAGCCAACGGGTCGCCAGATACACGGAGGGTGTATTTCGTTGGCTGTCCATTTTGGCGAGGTGAGGTCAAGTGAATGACCACACTGGGATCCTGTATGCGTGTTTCGGAGACACAGCATACATCAATGGTACGAGATTCTAGGGTTTTAGCGAAGGAGGCCTGTTGACCGATTTGGCATAGGGTACGTACGTTGAAGGCTCCAATGTGTAGTTTGGAGCGAGGTTTAAGTAGACCTGGGACAGCGTTTCGCACACTAGAATCGTTGGCCATGGTGACACTTGAGGAGGAAACCGGAAGAGGAAGTTTAGTGTTGAAAGTCAAGGTAGAAGGAATAGTAGGAATTGAAGGAGATTGATTATGAATACGGTGGTCTTGAGTGCTGTTAGAGGTATGAGGGCAGTTATCACTTCCCGGTTGCCCACACCGTGGAAGGGTTCTCTTGGGGGTACCTGAAAAGGAAATTGGGTTAGAAGTGGTCTTAATGACCTGAGAGCGTGACCGCAGTGCCCAAGGGACAACTGCTTGAGGTCGGTCACACACGACCTTTTTGTGGGTAGTTTTTGTGTTAGCTCCGTTCTTCAAAAAAAACCTTACCGCCGGAGACGGATATCCGTGGGATAAGGCTAGGTGTGCATTTTTAGGGCCGACCTTTTCTAACCCCACCCCTCCTTGTGGGAAGGCAGCATCGCTGTCATGCTTGTTGTCTGAAGGAAACACCTGACTGCCGTCACATCCCTGTAGTCGACAGTACGACTTCGCCTTCGGACCTTGGGTTTGCTGCTTTTAGTCTCACCGCTCTTCAACCGACCTGTCTGGCATGGTAGGACCTCGAAGAACGATTGTTCCAGCCAGCATAGCTCGATTGCTTCATCACGATAGGCAAGCCCGACCACCACGCCAAGGTAGCAGCAACGGTCGGGAAGGCAGTCTCCAAAGATTTTCGTACAAATTTAAATAGAAATACCAGTTTGTGAACATTAGTACAGTACTGACGAGATATATACATGTTGACGGAAAATCCCTTCACAAAAATACATCGATTCAGATTGTCACACTTCCTCTAAAATAAAGAGTCTAACAAAACCGAAAGATATGAAAATTAACAAGGATGTGGATCAATAAGAAGGAATAAGAAGTCATAATCATCTTAGATTCAAATGAATAGTAAGTCATATGTACCGCAGTGACCTCAACCCTAAACTTTTCAGCATTTTGGTCAATATGTTTAGACTATCTCAGACTTTGTAGTCGTTTTTATCTGACAGAACAACGTTGTTTATACATTGTAATGATTTACGGCCAGATCCGGACACTGTTTATACTTCTAACGCCTGACCAATCTAATCATTCAAATGAGTCGTAGAGTATAGGAAGCCAATGTCATACATTGGATTTCAATTTTTCCCACCTGGCTTTATTGTAAGTATTCACACATCATCCATTTCTAACCCGTCCCTTGTTTTAAATCCTGGAGATGTCATTGCTGACTTCTAGCGATACAACGTAAATATATTTTGAGATGGTAGAGGTTTTTACCTCAGGTGAACAATCTGGATGGAGCACAAACTTCAGGTAGAAGTCCTCTACCTCATGATGTCGTTTAGAATAACGACGAAAGCTCCACGACCAAACCACTCAGCTCAGAGAACAAAACTCCATCAACATAATATATTTTATTGGATATTTTGCACCATATGTGCAGTAGTGTTACTCATGTAGTCACTCTTCATTTGGGATATGAAAGGCCCTTCTGAAATATGATCTATATAACTGCGTATAGGCTGCCAACGTTGAAGCATTGTGTTCATCACTAAATTACCAAGTCTGTTTAGATTCCCCTTTTATTAGAATTTAATTGTCCGTGCATTAATAATAATCGAACAAACTCTCTCAAATTGTAACATGGAGTTAAAATGCAAGGTACATACTAGGTATATATTGTGTCTAGTTGTTTGTTAATACGACTACAATTTAGATTGTAAGGGCAATACTTTACTAGCTCGGAATATGGTTACAATCTTCAGATACGAGATAGCCTATCTTCACTTTTTCTTAGGGTTTATCTATAGAACATTAGAATATGTTGCTAATCACTCGGTAGATTGAGAAGGACCATAGTTTGTGGACGAACCAATTAGATTTAACATAGCGGTTGTTTTAGTTTGTGTGGAATTCAACTACATAAACGGCTTAATAGCATTGAGGTTATAGTTTATATCAGTTAATGATGAAAATTCCTACTCTAATTCCTAACCCTAACTCCTAACTTCTAATCCTTATGTTAATCCGCCAAATTAATTCGTGACCTTATTCTCACTCTAGAGACTGGAATTTTTCAAGGCTATCTCAGTTTCACTCGAACGTTTTCCATAATTTACAGTCACGCCGTAGATTGCATTAAAAATCTAGCCTAGTGTAGAAGCTTCAATAATTTTTATACAACCAGGTGCTTGATATTTTCGACAGAAAAGTCGCCGTGATTATGAGGACTTATGTCAAGTTACAAGTTAGTGAAGACTCATGGCGGGCTCGAAACTATCAAAAACGAACTTTGATCATGCTATAGATGTAAAGGAAACGTTTACAGATGGATGTTCTACCAACGAAACAAAATTTGATGAAATTCACTCCAATAAAGAAAAACAATATTGCGGACCGAAAAAAGCTTTAAGACACATGATCAACGCTTTCAAAGGTATGGTAATTTGAGTCATTACTGTTAAATCTAGTTTATTGAACTGTCTTACAGCCATTACCTGTGGAATTGGTTAAATTCCTTACAAAACTCGATAGAAAACAAAGATTGCTGAGTGATGATGACTTCCCAGTTCATTAACGAAGAATACTTGGAATATACAGGCGTTCTACTTATAAATCAAGATCTTTCAGACCACAATGTAACCGGTACACAGCTTACAACAGATTTGCATAAGTTACAAATAATAACTTACCTTGGGCGTAAAGAGTCAATGTCGCTTGGATGGCAATGAATAGTGCATTAAAGCCATATTTTTCAAACATTACTTCAACCATTTTCTCTCTGTTACGCAATGGATTGAGAGGAGGCTCTGTTAACAAAATCTTTGCATGTTTGGGATCAATGTTCATCTTTTTTGGTCCGAATATGTAGTCATATAAATGGATCATATCGTCCCAATTTCTAACAATACCGTTCTCCAGTGGGTAACTCAGTTCCAACATTTGTCTTAATTCACTTGCCTCGTCACCCACCATAAGATCCTGAACTTCCAAATTGCCCACGCGAGAAGTTGCGCGCAATATTGGTCTCCCTATGAGTGATGGGAAAATAAATTCGGGGAAGGTGGCTCCAGCGTATCCACACTTTACAAACTGAAGGTTTTCAGTAAAATACAAGGCAGCAAACTCACTCCTGTACCATTGTCACAAACAACTATTTTATTCCCATCGGCATCAACAGTCATTGTGTAACGTATACTTTACAGTAAAGCGCCTTTAAAGATATCTGTTATTTCAAACCCCAAGCATCATTCGAAGAAATAATCAGCTATTTGCTCCTAAGGGACTTTAACCAAATTATTAGTGAGGGTTCTTGATAATAAAAAAGTCGCGTATTTGCTGTAGTCCTCCAACAACGGAAAAGGTTTATGAATATATAGTGGTAAATAAATCTCCAAAATAAATAGTTCTGTAAGTTTTCGACATTTGATACTGACCACATTATTTTTACTGGGCTCACCTAGCTGAATGCGCTTGTTCACGTGAACGCACCAGAACACGAGTGGGTACACCATGCTATCCATCTCTTACAGCCGTTAGCCAGCTCATACCAAACGCTTCTGGATATATCGATGGCTTTCAAATATATCTTCGAAGCTCTTCATTTCTGACTTCTGAGTTCACTGGCTTAGCATACTTCAATTACAAATGTGTCACGTGTAAGAGCGTTGTCAGACTTCAAATACTTGTGGCATCTTTAAACACCATTTAATGTTAGGAGTGGATTGGAAGTCGTTGAACTGAGCAACTTTAGTAATATTTCTTTTACTCTGCCTTCCAACCATATCGGTCTTATTGACTACGGGTTTGGAAGAGTCTTTTGCGAGAACACGAACAGTCATCTACAAGATCCTGCTTTTGTTTCTCAGATGCCAAACGGAAAACTGATCGTCACATGTGGTTAAAGGTACGTCCACCTAAAGATTGTGTTACATAACCCCATTCGTTGAGTATCGCTCCCACGATCGATAATAATGATTAATATATCACAGGCAAATGTTGAGTACTGAATAAGAAAACCAGTCTGGCCCATTTTCTCCTGACCCACACTCATGACTTAACTCCACCTGTAGCTCCTCCAGGAATGGTAAATCGTATAATAATAGTCTATGGGTCAAAATAAAACTTATACTAAGAGGGACACGAATATGGATAGTTTAGTTACCTGACAATTATACAATAGGGAATATACATATTACATAGGTTCATAAATAGTTCTCCAAAGTTACCATTCACAATTCTTTTCAGGATACAGCAGTTACTGAAAATGGACAGCTTATGGTGACGACATGAACAACAACCTATTTAGTCTTAAGCTTAAGTTACTTACAAATGAAACCCGACAAAATGAAAGTGTCTACGTCTTATTTAACGCTAGTTATTTGAGTAACTCTGCCTGAAGCCCTTCTAGGGTTGGGCATGAGGTGAGTAACTTCATCCCTCAGAAATACAACATTGCTAAAAGACGCCAACCAGAATAAACAATTTTAACCATTTAAACTATACCCTGGGAGTTAGAGGAACTTCGTTCACAAGCATGACTTATGGTGAAAGCCGGGATCTTTCGGGTATCACGAGGTTGGTTCCTCTTCTGACGACCAGAATAATAATTAACATAGGTAAACAGAATGCCCAGATAATGTAGTAGACTGTGGGAACCAGTCAGAGAACTATAGAAAGGAGATCTGTTGTACAGAAAATATCAGATTCAGGGTAGGCTCTTTCGAAGCCAGATCATAAAAAAGAAAATACTCCATACATACGGAGAGTTGCTGTGATGCTCAAAACATCCTTTAAAACAAAGGAGATGCTCACAATTGATGTTATTCAGTGCTGTGCGCCCACCAGTGATAGCAATGGAGACGATTAGGACCAGTTTTATCAGAGGCTGTTGTCGATCTTAGAGGCGCCCAAGACTATCCTGGATGGAGACCTAGAATCTAATGAGATTGTAGTGATATCGATCCCCAACCACACGATCTTTGAAGTCGAATATAAGATAACTGAGAAACTTCACACTCAACATTTGACTCAGAGAGAAGTTCAGAGGTGATGAATGCGAAAAATATTGATCTGTATGGGATAGCTCAGCCATGCAGACGTAGTCCCTCGATGTAAATCCTTTCTTTTAATAATAAATATGTGACTTTATAATCAGCCAAAATGTGTTCTTCAGATGTATTAAACATCATATTACTGATCATCAGCTTAGATAATTGTGTGAATTTTAGTTAAGATCCCATATATTAGGTAGTCGCACCATGACAGATCTGAAATTTTGATATTAGGCTAACCACTATAGGAGCAAATATAACTACACTTCATATTGACTTAGAAATCGATCTCACAGATTCACTATAGAGGAACCCTAGGCAGCTGCTGTATTAGAACTGTTCTTACCATAGTTCCTTTCCCATTGTTCTTTACATTTCTCAGGTTTCTAGCTGCAATTTTGGATTTCTATCGTATTGAAAATATAGAGTTCGAAAAATATTCAGCCTTGGAATCTTGTTAACATATCTACTATAAAGACCTAGATACCAAAAGAAATTTCGGTGAGATTTTTACGAAAAGCTGAAAAGAATATTTTCGGTACACATAATCCTTCCTGTGTCTTATGGTTTATCTACTCATAAATGTCAATATTTTTTGCCCGGTTAACTCTCTTGTGCTTGCGTAATCATAACTTTACTTTTCACGTGTTTTGTTTTTTAGGACGACTGAACTAAAGAAGATAAAGGCGAAACTGAAGGACCCAGCCACTGTTCTTTGTGTGTATTTTCTATTCATTTTGACTTGGAATAATAAGAGACGAACAGACGCTGCCAAACGCATTGAACTATTAGAATAGAAAATATCAACCGAAGTTATTGGGTCAACACTTCTGGCTGGTCGTTTCTGACCACACGAGGAGGGAGTGAGCTGTAGCAGCAAATAAATATTCCAAAAATGGGGCTTCATACTTTTTCAAAGTTGATGAGATCCCATTAGTTCTACAGAATACACCTTACCTGACCGCACTCGGTAGAATATATTCACCAGATCACATTTTGATAAGCCATTCCACACATCTCCCACTATAACTGGTCAGTTTGGATTTAACAGTGCAGCGCATCGATCTATAATAAGGACATAGATTCGTATCCAATGCCTCTCTGCTGGTGATCTTACTCGCTTCGAAATCATTGTGTAATATGTCAGTTCGGACAGTAATACTGTCATATTCTATGTTTTCATTAACCTCTACAAACACTAACACTCTGCTAATTATGTTTTATTTCCACATGCACACATGAATGGTTTCTTCAACACTTAGTATGAAGGTTTAGTTTGTGTTATTACCAGCGTCGAGAAGCGCCTTGTTCACGTAACATTAGTAATAATAATAATTTATCCTCAAACAACAGTTTGTTACATGAGGCATACCAGTTTACAGGCAATATCAAATCGTTACAGAAGTTACAACTTTCACTGTAGTAAATTACTCAACTGGATTGATATTTTATAAGATATGTATGTAGATGGTTTTAGTAAGGAACGTATCGTCAAAATCACAATTGGCGCGCTTTATGAAGGTTGCGTTACGACATGCCACTGATGGTCAACAATAGATCCATGCGAAGTTGTGGGCTTCTAGATATTGTAACCTTATATCACTCCTGAATTTCGGAGGCTTTAACAATCATGCAGGACCTGTTTCATATCTGTTTTCGGTAGCGTATCTCAAGGGGGCTGAAAAAGGGTGTAATAAAAAAAACGAGGAGTAGAGCGGGCAATGTTCATGGAGGAATAGTTGGGTATAACTAAGTATATTTCTCTGTTATCAAGGTACTTATTAAGCAAGAGCATTCTTATATGTTAAAGCAAACAAGTGTAAACAAGATATGAGTGGAAAAGGAATTGTATAAATGAAGGTAGTTCAGAAAAAAGCTGAAAGTATGGGACTATGTGTAATTATCGGAGACAGTAGTATTGCATCATTCGCGGAGGACGATTATGGTAAATTTCAGGTATTCTCATATTAATTTACCAATGTACAAGCCTTAGAGATGCCCTCACATTTAGTTTATACTATCCCCTCACACATACTATACACTGTGAACAATAAAAAAACTCGATGTCCTTGGTTTCCTAAATGAGCTTGATATAGGCAAATCCATGGAACCCAGTGGTATGCATAGTACTTTACTAAAAGAATCAGCGAATTTTGTCACGAATCCTTCAAGCGTATGTTTTAATCTTTCGGTAGACAGAGTCGATTACCAAAATACTGTGAGAATTCTATGGTAAGTATTATCTTCAAAACATGTGTAAGACACTAACCGGAGAACTATCGGCCCTTCAGAATTAAGGTCTAATTCGGTAGACCTAATCCCAAAATTGCAGGTCTGTCATGATGTGACTACCTAATCTATATGATCTTACGTTGAGGTCCCATCATTGTTTACACTGACTCCTCCTACGTAACGACTCACAATACGATGTCTAGCATTTCTGGAGAACACACTTGGGCTGAGGAGAGGGCAATATATTTGATACGAAAAACAAGAGGTTAAAAAGGGTGACTGCGCTTGTGTGATCGAGCCATGCTATTTCAATTCCTTCCTTGTGCGTTCACCATTTTTGACCTTTACTTAGTGTTTCATGTTGAGTGTAAATCTCAGTAATCGTTTGTTCACTTTCGACGGAACCAATAACACTACACTGCTCTCCCACCAGAATCAACGTAACGTTGGTTCAATACCAAATTGAGTGGGATAATTCCAAACTGGACGTTTCCAAAAAAATAACAATGCCCCGGGTATCGATAAGCTGCAAGAGAAATCAATAAGGAGTCGGAAGCAAGTGACCGGGAAATGTATGTATTGGTTTCAAAAGTGTCTAGTTTAATTCTAAACACGCTTGAAATGAATGAAGATTGTTTAAGGGTTAAACAAGGTGGGATCATCATAATGAAGAATGACTCAGTATGAAATTATCTTAACAAGTCACATTATGATGCACAGCAATAAATGCTGGTTAAAAGCGTAACTTATGGGTAATACAGGTACTTTGTGCCTACAAAAAGAAAAAGCAACCAGTTTAGTATGAATGTTGATATTGATGTTATTTTTGGTTTGAATTAGAAGGCCAGTTAATGTTCATGTCTGTATGCTATCCGTTTGAGTTGATTTTCGGTAGTATTTGCATTAGCAGGCTAACTGAAGGAAAAGAATATAGCAGTCATGAGGAAGAAACGCAGCTAGTCTCGCGATTAGTCTGCCAAGTTTTTGGTTCACCCTTAACCAATCAACCCTAAGTTGTCAGAATTCGGACAACTTGGCTTTAAACATTATCTGTTCCT